ATCAATTGCCAATTAAGGTGATATTCTTGGTAATACTGAATAAAAAATGGCCTGGCCAAAAACGTTTTCTCACGAATTTTTGGTGAATCTAATCTTCAGCTGAGAGTCTACCGACAAATGTACAATTTGAATAACGTTCAATGAGGTTTAACGTCACACATGGGAAGAATTACGAGTTTTTAGCTCCGTTGAACCCACCAATCACAGACGAGAAATTAGTTACTTAGACTACTCAAGAGGCTACGTACGTATAGGTAATTATATACTTTATAAGAGAGTTTTGATTGTACGACTCTTGGCCAACAAAGTGCATATCAGGGGCCGTGTTATCTAGAATTGCTTAACCTCACATAGCGGCATAAGATAAATAATGAATACTAGTTATAGGTATCATTAAGCACCAATTAATTATACTCATATTACCCATAGCTGGTACCGGTGGAATATAATCTCTCGTGGCTGCCAGCATACCGAGAAAACTTAACAATAGTGGAGAGTATGAGGCCGGGTTCACACCCCACTGCCGGGCACGTCCCAGGTAGTATGGTGCCAATCACTCTCCAGTGACTGCATTTCTAATGCTTTATATTTCTGCATGCTTTAATGCATTTATATGGAAGCATTCACACCAGCCGTGCAAGGCACCGCTAACGAACGAGACTCTCCTCTGCTAAATAGTCAGCTGGATCTTGAATTGCTGAGTTGCCACGTTCGCGGTCTTTTAGCTTCCTGCAGGCGTGCTCTGGGGTCCCCGTTTGGGTGTGGGGCGCTTGGTTCTCGCTGCCATGTCGACGGAGTTCATCAGCATCCAGCGATAATTCAGATTTAAACAGCCTCGCGAAACAGCAGTTCATAAATGCAGTTAACCTCTTCAAAGGCTAGCAATTTCTTCACGTCAGCGGACGACGACAACTTTTACGGCTACTTAGAAAAAATTCTTTTTTCTTTCCTGATTTCATTCTGTAGCTGTGAAAAGAAGTGCGTATAATCGTATGCACCGTTCGTATGTAAGAGAGAAGTGACTGCTTTAGTTTGTGCGTGAAGTAGTTTTAATTTGTAAAAAATTAACATTTCCCCACAATTATGAGAAAAAAATTATTCATATAAATTATTGTTTACATTAAATTGGACAACAATAAGTGATGTGGCTCATGACGGTACTCTCAAAACGAGTAATAGGCGAGGGGAAAGCCAAAGATACCGTATCAATAGTTATTTATCTTTTGCTTCTTTTTGGACCTGTTTCAATTATTTGCCTCTCCTGAACAACTGGAATTCCCTCTTTACGCCTTCTTAAAAAGTTTTATTTTTTTTTTCGTTTACGGGCAGCAACGTCGAGCAACACGTCATTCGATTCTTATAAAGGGAATAACTAGCGGCTCCGGAAGCTCTTTTCTGATTTATTGATTGTTTGGACTTTATATTATGGTTAAAATTTGGGGAAAGAGGGAAAATGAAAAAAAATCCTTTAGTAAATTAGAAGCGAAATTAGAAAAGTGGGTTTCTAGAGTCGCTAGATATTTGCATTACTATTGGTGCAAATTTGATATTTGATGGACACGTCTTTCGATGTTGTAGCTCATGAATGAAAAGATGAGAAGTATTAAAAAAGTCCTAATTTGTTCCGCTTTATTAACATTGTACGTTTTCTATTATTTTTCAAAATATTCGAACGAAATGCGCTTCTATTTGTGTTTTGCATATGCGCCTGAAGTTTCAGAAAGATCTTTCAGTTATAGATCTTTCTTCAGAAAGATCTTTTTCGATGGGTGGGCTCTTCTCATAAACTTCGAATTCAAGTTCGATCTATTCGTTCCTTATTCTTTACGACACATAACTCACGACAAATGGCTCACGATACATGTCTTACGACACATGCCTAACGGCAAATGACTAAAGATATATGGCTTATAGCACGTGACTTACTACAAATGTCTTGCAAAGAACTGAACACCAAATGCAAGTGACTTCTCGGTCTCAATAAAGTTGATCTCGCTGGCGTTTTAAAAATGTGCAGGAGGACATACCACGTATCCAGGCCACGAGAGCATGGTAGCCTCGTCTGAACCAATGCATCAAGCATGCCATTGACATTCTTCGCATGGGCAATAGCATAGACATCAGCAACCGCATAAGAAATGACAGGTCAGGTAACTCTCCAAACTACATCACACGTGCATGCCTCGCAAGGAAGCTATACAGCCACGAGCACAGGCAACTTGTCTCTCCTACGAGGTACGCAGCAGGTAAACGGACGCACACATGGCGCACAACATGGCTTACGACACATGACGCACAACATGGCTTACAACACATGGCGCACAACATGGCTTACAATACATGACGCACAACATGGCTTACAACACATGACTCAAGTTGTCCTTCAGCAGAAGCTGCGCAGCACTTGAATAAACTAAATGACAAATTGACATAAGCGACCAAAGAATCATTAATCAGTTCATCTAATGAATAAGCGAGCTTCAGGCCTGATAAGTCGAGCACCAACGACCGCCTGCGAACATCTGTGTCAACGAAGCTGTTCGTCTTGTTGAGCGATGCACGTGTCGTCGCGACAGACGCGCACGCCAGCACCAGCTACCCAGCTTGAATATGCGCGGTGCTCACCCATTGATGATCCATGAAGTTTTTCGGCGCTGATACTTGGCCATGCACGTTCTGGGTGTTGGGAAATGCAGACAACGTAAACTCGTGTCGGGAACATTCGGAATGTTGGAAGTTAAGACATCTTAAATACAATGCACGGCGTTACGTTCGGAATGCTGAGAACTATAGACATCTTGGTATCATTGGTATTTGTTTCGGACCTATAGGAGTCCCAGGCCACGATGGGTCGCCGTCTCTGACTATCACGCATCCGCCTTCATTTGGGCCAGCTGATGCACTATGCAGTTGCTTGCTTCTCGCCGCTGGAAGTGGTGCAGGAGAGGTCGATCAGGGATTGTGCCCAGGAACACGCCCAATCGTCTCTTGAAGGTCTCCAGGGTAAACTCCCCCTCTCTTAGATCTGAGGAATAGGGTGTTTTTCTAATGGTGGTTGGAGGTTTTGGATTCTACAGCAGCCGTCCCTCTTCCAGAATTAATTATTTGAATACGTATTTTGGAGGTTGGAGTATAGACTGTGAAGATTCAGCGATTCATTGAGGGTTGGGAATGATGGCGAAGATCAACACCTGTACGACATTAAGACATGTAGTAGTAAAACATTGACATGACGAATAGCATAAAACAATATCAAAATAATATTGAGAGTAAACTACATTATACGAATCGAATTCTAGAGAAGAACTCGGTGGCTTCCTCCTTAGCAACCTAACGACGCTGTCCAGAAAATGACGCTTAGGCGTGACTGGCTAATGGTTACCGGGTCGCCTGCCGAAGACCACAACTGCCCTGGATGTAATGGACCATCATGATTCCTGCCTTCCGGAACGTAGCCTTCAACACTTCAAGCCGTTCGTTTCTGGGCCGTGGGTCGAACCAGCCCTCGGTCGAACGGCCACTTGTCAAAGGACGATACATTTTGGAACAGAACTCTGCTATCTGAAACCTAACCTCAGATGAGGTGAACGTAAAATTACGTAATTTAACGATACCGGGAAGTCAGATTCGATCCGCGGCCTGGTGGTGCACGGCAGGTGGTGGTCAAGGCCGGAGGAAGACAAAGCCGAGTAGTGCACGGCTGATTGGTGGATATCCGGAGAGATCCAAGGCATTCGATTTTGCTTTAACTTCACTTTTTGGGTGATGATGAATGTTGTCATTCTATGGATTGTTGTTTCGATTCAGGTGTGACGTAGGCCACCCATGTTTCGTCACCAGTAACAATTTGTTCTAAAAATTTTCACCTTCATTGTGGTACCGCTCAAGGAAAGTCAACGCACTGCCTAAACGTTGGGTTTTGTTAAAATCCATAAACATTTTTGGAATCCAACGTGAACACAATTTCCGGTAATTCAAGTTCTCGGTCACAGTGCGATACAAAACACTACGAGAATATTGAGGAAATTAGTCGGACAATGATGAAATTGTAAAGCGTCGGTTTTTTCTCACCTTTTTGTCCACTTTCTGCACAAACTATTCATTAACGACCGAAGGACGCCCACTCTGTTCTTCATCATGCACATTTGTGCGGCCATCTTTAAATGCTCTCACCCATTTCCTTACATTCCATCACTCATAATGTTTTGTCCGTTAACTTCAACGATCTCACGCTGAATATCGATCGGTTTTACGCCTTTAGCACTAAGAAATCGTATAACAGCCCGCACATCACAGACAGCGGGACTCACGAATGTCGGAGGCATCTTAAACACTCAGTAAACTACGTATACAATGAAGAATCAGACCGTAATGGCCCCAGTGCGTAGACAAGAAATGTAGATAACCAGCGCGCATGCGCGGAACGCCAATCGCGCTGCGGCGGCGGAATCGCAAAATGGTATTTACTTAAAAAAACAGGCCTCGTATTTAAAGACGACATCTATTTCTTCAACAATAGAGAACTTAGGTGAAAATCTTGAACATCCCTTTTTATTCTGTTGACAGGATAACACGTGTATTGGCGAAATAGGAACTCAAGGTCTCGCAGAACTTAGTACGTTACGGCCTCGGGAGAAATATTTTACAAAGTACGATGATTCAGAAAAACGGACATTTAGCATATTCGGCCTAAGAATGTTCATGGAATCTCCTGTGACTATGCGACGCTCGAACCATTGGCGGGATAATCAAGGAAAAATTTCATGTTTCGCCGACCTTGGTTATCACGATTTTACTGCAAATGACGTAGAGTAATAGGGTGAAACTTTCATAATGAAAAAAATCATGAGACATCCAGCCGTCATGAACTAGAAGGATGAAAATCATTAATAACACAAGTGCGTGGGCGGCTGCTTGCATTTGCTTCTTACTACATCTGAACCAACAAATCTAAGGCCTATAAAATCAGAGCCACACGCCAACAACGTGACAGAGCAGCAACAGCCTTTGAACAGCCGTAGACCCAATCGTTCCGCAGCAGCCGCAGCACCAAGAGGCCTTGAACAGTCCGCAGACCCTGTTGTCCAGACCCTGATCACAGCCCCAAGATGTCGCGAGGTCTCGTGCTTTTCATCGTCGCCGCGGCAGCAGCGTCGGCGCAGGCGTAAGTAGCACGTCTTCAGAGGCCTTGAGTGATTTGCTGTAACACTAACCAAGCGGAAATATTTTCAAGTTTTTGTTTGAGAGGACATTTCGTATTAAATGCTACTGATATTTATTTTCAGGTATCTTATAATTACTAGGCAGTAACTTCTCATATCTAAGACGCTTTGCTTCATACCGTGGTAGCATCGATACCCGAGTTTGAGAATGAAACACGATACAAAATATTCTGTAGAAGGCGACATGACAATATGAATAATAAATTATGTGACAATTCATTATTAGAAATGTTATAATAATAAAATCCGAATGATTTACGGCATTCAATACTTGCCTGACAATAATCGGATAAAAAAGTAATTGTAGAAGCGATGTCATTGTTTGTTAGGCCATTAGACGAGCTTTCGCCGATTTTAACGTTGCAGAACATTCACAGCTTGCTGCGGGTCTCAAACATGCAATTCACTGCTTCAGTTTTGGTATTCTGAACTGTAATCACTTAGTAACCCTACGCGGACCATATGTTTGCTATTCATGATAGATTGGAGGTGAATGACAACAAATTTTGTTTGCTGTTGGCATGAGTTGCATTTAAGGGGATCTTATTCAGTTGAATAACATAATTCGTGAACCGCTGTAAGATTTGGTCCTCGCTGAGAACAAGTAAAATCATGAGCTGGAGGCCCGACGACCTATCATTGTATTCCTAATAATATTTTATCATTGCATTCCAATTCAGCTTTTTTCATTGTGTGGAGCGAGAAGGAGACTTAACACCTGCATGCTTCCGATTGCGGAGAGAAGTGTTAATTAGTACATTTTAATGTGTGTGAGATTTGTGAGATTTTCTAGGTTGCGAAAAGACGTGTTCGTTAGACTTATTGGAACAGCGAGATTTGCAGGTTGCGGAGGAAAAGTGTTCGTACATCTTAATGCGGCAGTGAGATTTGCAAACCGCGGTCTGCAGAAAAACTTTTCGGAAACGGTGATTTCAGCCAAGGTTAATTGTGCTCCTCTCCAGACAGAAATTGAGGAGATTTCTTCGCCGAGCGACTTTTTCTTGATCAAATCAGTTTCTAAGCAAAAACTTAATTTGATTATTGATGTTGCCCAACTCCCCCGTTAACTTGAAAGGATTTACTTGGGGAAAATGTAGTTTCTCGGTAACACATCACATTTCTAACTTCAAGCAGAAAACGTAACTGTAGAGATAATACACTATGATTGATTATGTAAGTGGCGTACCTATTTAATTTGTGGGTCAATTCCAGCGCCTATTCGGCTTGCTATTTGGCGTTGTCTGATGCCAGAAATGCTGTGGAAAAAACGGCGTCGCCTGCTTGCTCGCCACAGTACACTGCGGATATTGAGAAATTTATGGCAAGTAAGTGTTAAAATAATTATTAAGATATTAAGAACTATTTTACTCCCACTTATAGCCATCATTATTGTAACAATTTCTCATCAAGCACTAAAATACTCAGATTATATGTGTAGATACCCTATTGTGTACGCATCTAACATGCATTTTGCGCATTTACAAGTGCAGGACAATAACTTTTCTTTCATGAATGCGTATTGATGTTTCAATGATTCTGGTTGAGTTACCGAAAGTTAACTAACCAATGGAATCCCTGCATTGTTTCACTCCTACACGTTGTTTCGCAATTAGATGGCACCAACACACCATAAACGACTGCTTCGTTCCTCCTCAGACCCGAACTGCTCCTACTTCGCTAAACTGTATGATGCGGCTACATGCGATCCAATTGTTGCCAGGTTCTCGAAGTGCATGGTGAAAGCAGCCAAACTTGTGAGTAAAGCTCAATACTGAGCATCGAGTGCTGGACTTGTGCGTATGACTGTACATTGAGCATCGAGTGCAGGACTAGTGTGTGTGTGACTACATTGAGGATCGAGTGCGGAACTTCTGTGTATGACTGTACAATGGACATTGAATATCGAGTGCAGAACTTGTAGATGTGACTGTACATTGAGCGCCGAGTTCATGACTGTACATTCCAGCTCAAAAATTCTGGTCTCGCACTCGCAACACACACGCACAGCAGTATTTATGTCTGGTGTGTAAGGCCGATTTTTCGGGGTTAATGTCACTCACAAACTATTGGGCGTGACCCACTGGTGGGGCACACAGACCTGGCAAGTGGGTCGAGACAGCGGGTAGACATTTTCCAATTCGGTATTGCTTCCATGTTCTAAAATTCTCCTTTATATCTCATCCTCAACGATGCTCTAACATTTCCACGCAACAGCTCGCACGAACGTTTGAGATTAGACCAGCTTGAGATACCCTTTCCGATCTTATTTATTGTTAAAGAAATTTTTGCACCGAGCAAAAAATTCGTATAAATCCAAACTGCAGTTACCATATATCCTCCATATCTCCACCTTCCGTTCACCAGCTGCAAGGAGGCAATACGTTCAACGACGCGGCCTTCAAAGCAACCACATTGCTGAACAAATGCAGCGCTGACGCCAAGTTCATAGCCGCCTACCCTACGTGCAAGAACTCCACCATGAAATATATGAACGTAAGTAAAAGCATGTGCTTATCTATTGATTTAGAAACAAATGCTACACTTTCCATATGTAATGCTCATATTTTAAATTAGCAAAGAAAAGTTACCAACGGTTGAGTATAGTTCGTACAATGAAAGACAAAAACGTCTTTCATAGAAATTTAACAATGACATACCACTGCAGCAAACAGAAGAGATCACAGAATTTCCGTAAATGTTCATCGCTGATGCCTCATGTTTCATGTTCCAGTTAAACCGACTATTCCAATGTCTCATGAAAGCTGTATATTGACGGGTGATGTCACGGAAGAACATGGACGGGTGATGTCACGGAAGAACATGGACGGGTGATGTCGCGGAAGAACATGGACGGGTGATGTCACGGGAGAATATGGACGGGTGATGTCGCGGAAGAACATGGACGGGTGATGTCACGGGAGAACATTGAAATGAGCCAGAAGAAGACGAACTGAGCATCAGAAGACTTTTCTTATTCCTTAACCAATTCCTTTCCGCTTAGATGGATTGCTGACGAGAATATTGGTATTGTTGCTATTTCGAATTCGGGACGTCTTCGATTATTTTTGTAGCTGCGTGTTTCGATCTTTGGTTTTCGGATTTTTTAAAATCGAGTTTCACTCTCACTTCTCCATAAAATAGATATTCGGGATAAGGAAGCTGGATGCATTTACTATACCCACACTAATGAGCATTTATCCGTTTGCATAAATTATTCATGAGTTGTACTGTCACGCGCAGTTTCTGGGATATGATCTACATATATTATCTATCAACACAATAAATGATTTGAATGCTCATATATTTTACTGTCCTGTTCATTGTTCAAAAAACGTGTAATGTTTCCGTGGAAAACGTTTATAGGGGCTGATATTGACAGGTACGTCATTGTACGTTCTTCTCACAGTGCAGAAGCCAGCTATCACAGGCTTTCAAATAGAACAGAAAATATTCTATTATGTCAATAAGGCCAATATTCGATATTTAAATGGCAGCAGCGCAATATTTGAACCCAGTCGCATCACTCCAGCCTGACCTTCAACGCAAGACCAAAGCAGAAAAACGCAAGACCAAAGCAGAAAAACGCAAGACCAAAGCAGAAAAACGCGATGCCCTGCTGTATGAGGGTAAACGCATTGGCAGCGTAACAGAAGAATGCTGATGATACTGAGAAGTTATACTAAGAATGGAAGAGAAATCGCTAAACTCTTATAAACTATCAGAAATTTGTAGCAAAAGAAATGCACAGAAATCCACCATATTTTAATACATTAATGTTTTTCAGTCATGCTATATAGTCAGCTCGACAATCGTTGATTGCAAGTACAGTTAACCAGTGTCCAACTTCCACACTGCAGACTTTAAAACCAAAATCGGCAAATAAGAGACAATAAACTTCGAATAATAATAATGAGCAGAAAGGCCTTTCCATCAACAATTTTAACTGGATCAGAAAGAAACGCGTCACTTAAACTAGGCAACAGTTTGAAAATAAGGAATTTACACCGATTAGGGGCTAGACACTGGTTATGGAAGTTAAAATTTTGAAATCGCTATCAAATGAATGCCGGGACTTCGCACTGCTCAGCATTTACTGGAACAGCTGTATGAGACGGCCAGTCGATACAGATTAAAAATTGCTATGATGTTCTCACGACGCTCAAATTACATTGCACAGAACGCGCTACCATCTGCGAAGATCAGTCCCCGGAGCAGACGTGTGACGTCGCAACGTTGATCGAAGAATACGACGACGTCTTCTTTGCCTGGATGTACAGAAACTCTAACATATGACATAGAGCTGAAAACTTCGATGCCCACACGGGATAGATTCTATCCTGGCTCTATCCATTTGAAGTAGCACTTCGATATGGAGGTAAATAACTTGCTAGAGTTTAAAATAAGTAAGCCCTCCACATCAGCTTACCGCTCACCCAATGTTATGGTTCGCAAAGCTGATCAAAGTTACAGAATGACAGTAGATTACAGAATGATGAGCAGTATTACAGTTTTCCAAGCTGAACCGCATGTCTTGTGGAAGAAGACCTGCACCAGTTTGCCGGTGCTTAGTACTTTTCCGAACTCGACTTGTCGCCAGCCTACTACCAGATCCCGCCCACGGAAAGGTCGCGATACTTCACTGCTTTTCCAACGCGTCGTGGGGTAATGGAATTCGTGCGTCTTCCATTAGGCTTGGTCAACGCTTATTCTAGGTATGCGTGATTAATGAGGATAGTCATACAGGATCTTAAAAATGTATCCTTCTATTTTGACAATATCTATGTGTACGCCGACACATGTGAAAGACACGTATGCGCCTGCGCAATATTTTCACTAGGTTACATCAACATGGGCTAAAGGCACGACCATCTATATGTGCAAATTTTAATTTGCTTCCATCAAATACCTCGGTTTTAAGGTCAGCCAAGGTATGATTAAACCATAAGAAGATAGAGCAAGTGCCACAGTAGAAATATAACCCCCTAAAACAAAGAAGTTGCTTTACCCATTTTGGGGATAATTTCTTTTCATTGTAAATTTATACAAAATGCTCATCGCTCACCGCGTCGATGTTTGATCAACTGAAGAAAGACGTGCGTGAACCCATCTGCTGGACGCCAGAGTTGCAGGCCAATTTCACGAAATTAAAAACTATCTTATCCAATGATTCAATCTCAAAATTACCTGTTAACCGTAAGTTTGTACTACGTACCGCGATTCCTCCAGCGGAGGTGTTGACCCGCGGTATTGCTTCAATATTACAATAGCGTGCCTTACCCCGTGGCTTATGCTAGTCGGAAACTATTGGGTGCAGAGAAAAGATATTGAACCGTAGAGGAGAGTGCCTTGATACAAGGCGTAGATAGATACAAGTACTATCTGGTGAGACAGGAATTCATGTCGGAGGCAGATCACAAGACTTTGATTTACCTTAACAAATTTAAAGGTAGTAATGCTCGTCTTATACGTTGGGCCTTGAGTTTGCAATCCTACCGATTTCAGATCCTGCATATTCCTGGTAACAGAAATGTAGGAGCAGATCTGTTGAGTAGGTGCCAATAATTTCTTGTGTTGCTCCTAGAATAAAATAAATTTCTGCGGATGATTTCTATTGCAATGGAATCTTCTGGGGGGATGTAAGGGAAAATTCGCTTTCTCATTTTCACTTATTTAAAATTATTTTTGCGTCGTATGTTCTACTGCTTCTGATAGGGTTGGCAACCGCGTCACACGCTGAAATGGCATTACCTGGTAGAATGCCTGAATGCCGTATTAGTTAGTAGGGTGTCAGAGCATTTCCATGCAAGTCAGTCGTTCAAGTGATTGAATTTTATAACGTTTGCAGTGCATTCATGTTGGTGTTATATGAAATTGATCCCTAGTATTATATTACTAGCTATAGTCTTGCTGACCATCATTGTTCGGCAGGACCGGCTCCTTGCCCGGCCAGCAAATACGGCATCTATTTAGACCGGCCCTAACGGTACTTACCAACTCCACCATCTGCACCAGTCGAGTTCGATACCGTCATTGCTGTGCACCATTGTACCAGTACCCCAGTGTTGCTAAGAACCATCATTGCAGTGCCTCATTGTTGCTGTGCGCAATCGTTAGTGTCCCATTGTTGCTTTGTATCATCATTGCTGTGTGCCCACATTGCCATGTACTCCACCCTTCCATTGCTTTGCACCGTCATTTATTTAAACCATTATTGCTCGTTGATGTGTATCACCTACCCAATCCTCATTGTGGAAAGTTGTCTTGACCTAGCTTTACTTACAGAACTTCTTCAATGATTTGCCCTGTAAGTGTTCAATTGATGTGTTTTGTTCAATTAAGCGAAAATTTATTGTGAAAAAATCAAATTCAAAGTTCATAGCATGGAATGTGAATGCATAGCAAATCCGCCGCTTGGCTGCCCGATTAAAATCGGCTTGTGGTCCAAATGTTATTTCCCACTTAATAATCGCCTGACAGTAATAGTATGAGAAGAGTTGGCAGAGCCGAGTCATACTCAGCTTGCAAGCTGCCCAGAGCCTCTCCTGCAAACCCAGAGCAGGAAAGGACATGCATGGAGCGGCTGATTTACATGCTCCACGAGTCCCAGGAGGCACATTTTCAGAGTCGGTCACTCGTCTAAATTTCATTAGGCAAGTCTAGCCTGAAATCGAGAAAGTACTATATATATCTGGGTTCAAACTCTATTCGACTGACTTATGTTGAAAGTAAAGATTTCCGTAAAAAAGCCCATATGAGAAGGGTGCTCGAAAATTAAAATGGTGCCTTTGACATAATGGGTTATAGGATATCGGTTCAAAATCAAGAGGAAATTTGGCCAGCGTAGCAACCTCGTGGAAACGCATAAAAGTATGCCCAAAAGTCGGTCCGAAAGGAAGACAAATACCAAGCCATCAATCGTCCGTAATACTTACCAGAAAATGCAAAACATTAGAGCAAAAATTATGGTTCCAGAATAAATTTCAATAAGTTGCGGTTAATCCAGTTTTGAAAGGGGTATAATAGTAAGTAAATCAACTAACTATATTAGTATTTCAATTTCATATTAATAAATAAGTAACATACTCCAGCTTAATATTTTCTTGCCTCACCTACTCACGTTGTAACATTGTCCACACAAAACCAACCTGAACGGTCCTAACCTTACCTCATTGCTGGGAGTTAGAGAGGCGAGGCAGGTGAGCAGAGAGCAATAACATTGCTATTAAATTAACTTCGTCCATTAACGATGAATAATGATTTGTCCACAAGATCTTCCTAAACTTGTGGTTGGAGGTCGATCTTGGGAAATACTCTGGTATACCTCCAGTTGAGCCAGTTTCCCTCAGGTTCCCTTCATCCTCTTTTGACGTGGATTTTTCCCACTGAGCAAATTTTCTTGGCTCTGAAATCGACGGTGTCGCTTCTTGATCTGTGTCGGAATAGATGGTCGTATCGCCGTCTTGGCGTTCCATGAAGACCTATTGACTCGTGGTTGGTTGGGCACTCTGCGTCGTTTTTCACAATTGTTGAAGATATGTTCAAATAAACCACAGATGAAACATGCATCTGTCCTGGAGCGACAGTTAGCCTCCGTATGTCTAACTCGATTGCAGTATAAGCACCGAGTTCTTGCTTATCAGGTGTTCAGGAACTACGGTGAAACGTCGTGTGTTCCAGCTGTTCATTCTATTATTTTCTCCATAGCGTTACCAAAGTTTCTTGACGTCTTCCATATTCCATTTTCGTTTGTACAATTTTGGTTGTACATGAAGTTCTTACAAAACTAGTTTCCGTTTGATCCCTTCGCTGGTTAAGTTCCTCGATTCAGCTTTAAAGCTACTTTGCGCGTGTGTTGAGGATGCGTTTGTTGATCAGTTAAAGTGTTAAACCAACGTTGATTACTACATCTTCTACTTCTGAATTGTTTTTGTCGGTGGTCTTTTTCAGGTCGCAGAAACAGGCGGAATGTTTCATTTCACTCCACGGAATTTTTTTGTTTTTGCCATAATGTGTCCCAGAATCTGAGTTTTGAGCATTTATTTGATTTTTTTAGGCACAATTGATGCAAATTTTCCTCGAAGTATCTTGCAGGTGTTCACGTCTATGCAGGGATATGAGGTTCTACACAATTTTCCAGTCGCATAGCCAAAAGATATACGGTTTCTCTTTGAATGACTGTTGCTTGCGCAAAATTGCTGCGATATATGCTCTTCCTCGCCAGACGTTGACTGTCGTACCACTCGACCATTTTGAGCTTAAGGCTATCGTGTGTGTCATCCACTGACCTAACGGCTCTGAAAGCTTCCAATGTCTCACCTTGTCTTCTCTAGTTCGCCGATCCAGAATAACTGATCTCTGAAATTCGCTCTGCAATGCTCTTCAAACAAGTTTATATACACTTTTAAATTCATTCCACCGTTTTCGTCGAACCTTTAAAAATGTTTGGGTTGTTCTAATGTCCAGTCTTTTCATCGCATTCACTAAATGTTGAATTCGTCATTGTTGTTGCTTTTCCTACCAGTTTTAATTTTCTTCTTCAGTTTCTTTCGCTGGCTTTGGGTTGTTTCATTGAAATCCGACGAGTTTGTTGCGTATGACGGCGAGTCTGACGTCACGCTGACGTTGCTACTGCTGGTATCTGTACCTAAATCTGATATATTCCTGGTTGTTGTTCTAATGGCCGGCCTGCTTTCTTCTTGGGAATTGCTTCAGTTTTTCCAGCTGCCTTAGATTGTTCCTCCAAATTGTTGTTGACGCTTACCTCAGCAGTTTGCACGATCTTGTTGAATTGTTCTTTAAGCTTTTTTGGTTCAATATCTGTCTGAGGTGTAATCTTGCCACTTTTTCTCTCATAGTTGATCATAATTTCATTTATGTATTCGATGTTTTTCTGGATGGTCTTTTCCTCCTCTGAAGACGAATCTCTTCTCTCGTTCAAAAATGCCTTGTCTGACTTCCCTTCTGCAATGATGCACACTATTGGGTTCTAAAGGCAATGCAAAGAATGGTTATTTCAATTTGAATGGAGAATCATGTGGACAAAAAGAAATCTAGAAACGGCTAAAATTCTCCCGTCAAAATCACGTCACTAATCTACACCAGTCACGGCTCCAAAATATGTCGGGTCTTTCAGCTGCCGCATCAGCTTAAGCACCGCATGCAGGCCTATAATGATAATTTGTTAGCTGATTGCGTTGTTTAACTATTGATTGATTTATCAAAGCCACATGCAGCTGTTTTTGGCTTAATAACTTTATTCACAAAGCAATTTTGACCTTGAAAAACAAGTCCAGATATTTCAGTTTGAAAAGGCTTGTAGAAAATGCATTTCCAACAACAACACATAATACACAACATGGCTTATAACACATGACGCACAACATGGCTTACAACACATGACGCACAACATGGCTTACAACACATGACGCACAACATGGCTTACAACACATGACGCACAACATGGCTTATAACACATGACGCACAACATGGCTTACAACACATGACGCACAACATGGCTTACAACACATGACACACAACATGGCTTACAACACATGACGCACAACATGGCTTACAACACATGAATGACGCACCACATGGCTTACAACACATGGCGCACAACATGGCTTACAACACATGACGCACAACATGGCTTACAACACATGACGCACAACATGGCGTACAACACATGACGCACAAGGTGGCTTACAGCAGAAGCTGCACTACACTTGAATAAACTAAATGACAAATTAACATAAGTGACCAAAGAATCATTAATCAGTTCATCCAATGAATAAGCGAGCTTCAGGCCTGATAAGTCGAGCACCAACGACCGCCTGCGAACATCTGTGTCAACGAAGCTCTTCGTCTTGTTGAGCGATGCACGTGTCGTCGCGACAGACGCCCACGCCAGCACCAGCTACCCAGCTTGAATATGCGCGGTGCTCATCCATTGATGATCTGATAAATTTTTTTGGTGCTGACACTTGGTCACGTTCTCGGTGTTGGGAAATACAAACAACGTAAATTAGTGTCGGGAACGGGTTGTTGGAAGTTGTGACATCTTAAATCTAATGCTTGGCGGCAACGTTCGGAATGGAAGAACAAGCCGCCGAGGAACGAGTGGTTAAGGTCATCAGAGAGAACCCGAAGTAGTCTATCAAACACGCCCAGTCCAAGGCCAAAATAAAGACGCCAGGAGGCCCGCTGAAGGATAACGGTGTCATTTTCGGAGATGACCATGGCATGTGTGAGTTACTGGGATCGCAGTTTGAATCTGTGTTAAGTAGCCCCCGCTACTCAAGGGAGGCGAATGAAATTGAAATTCTCCAGGAGCTGCCAGGCGGTTGAGGGTTGGAGAACATTGAGTTTGGATCAGAAGACATTTAAAAAAGTAGCAAAAAACTGGTGATGTTTTCACCCATTTAATAACTGAGCTGCGGCTAGAGTACAGACTCTTCGTGAGGGGTCACTGTCCGTGGTATAACCGAGGCTCTTTAATGCCTTGCCAAAACTGCTGAAAGGAGGGGAATTCACCCTCGCAACATTCAAGAGACGACTGGACAATTGGTTGAGAAAGATCCCGGATTATCCAGTAATGGGAAACTACCCTCAGCAAGTGACAAGCAACAGCATCTTGCATCAGCTGGCCCAAAGAAGGGCAAATATACAACCCTACGTGGCCGACTTGCTCCTGATTCACCCCTAAGCCGAATATAGTTCCTCTAAAACGACCTTAATCGGCACGAAAATTTTGACAGGGCAGGGGAGGTCGATCAGGGATTGTGCCCAAGAACACGTCCAGTCGTCTCTTGAAGGTCTCCAGAGTGAACTCACCCTCTCGTAGATCTGAGGAAGAGGGTGTTTCTCTAATGGTGGTAGGAGATTTTGGATTTTACAGCAGCCTTCGTCATCTCGAATTAATTATTTGAATATGTATTATGTAGGTTGGAGTAGAGGCTGTGAAGGTTCAGCGATTTATTGAAGATTGGAGAATGATGGCGCCGACCAACACTTGTACGTATAGGTGTGGCGGTTAGAATAAAGACATGACGTAGTATAGCATTAACATGACAAATAGCATAAAACAATATAAAAATAATATTAAGAGTAAACTACATTATACGAATCGAATTCTAGAGAAGAACTCGGCAGCTTACCCCTTAGCAGCCTCACGACGTTGTCCAGAAAATGACGCTAGGGCGTGACTGGCTAATGGTTACCCACTATGCATTCTAAAACAATATTCACAATATTTGATGGCACGATTTAAACACAGCAGTATTTTCGCCATTTACTAAACTTTTTTATTCAGAAATTACACGAATGTTGTTCGTGTCCGAGAATTGATGATTTACTGACTAAATATTTTTATACTTATTTAATAGTGAAATTGATGAAGTGCGGAATAAGTAGGTGAATTCAAACTAATTAAGTTACATATAGTTACAGAGATGGATGATTAACGAGTTTGAAGTTTTAATAAAATTAATTGCGGCATTAAAAGGAAAAGACAGTGCGAGATATAAATTCGAGCCACTTCAGATCCATTGGTAGAACGTTAAACAGTCTCGGCCCTGCCACGGAAAGAGATCCTTCCCGCAGGAATTGAAATCTTAGCGCAAATCTGTTGCGTAGCGGAGGGATCCTGCTCAGTTTCCCCCTCTCTCGTTATGATATAACCTTTAACGCCTCAATAAACCTATGCGTGGTGGTCACGTTCGGAATGTTTAGAACGAAAGACACATTAATCCAATGCGTGGCGGACACGTTCGGAATGTTGAGAACTGAAGACAACTTAATCCAATGCATGGTGGTCACGTTTCTTAAATAATAGAGAACTTAGGTCCGAATCTCGAACATCCCTTTCTATTTTGTTGACAGAATTACACATGTTTTTTTGGCGAAGTTGGAACTCAAGGTCTCTTAGAACTTCGCTTAAAAATTCTTATACAATAGAGGTCTAACAGGTACTGACAGTTTTATGCAGTCATTCAGACCAACATAGTAACTACTGACCACTAAATAGTTTCAATCAATCATTTAATGGGTAGAAAAAATTCATACACTATACACATACATAAGATTATTCGAACTGATATATACTGATATATCTTTTTACTTACCTCTCATTTTTTGTTGTGTACAACAAATTCTTTGAAGCAATATAAAAATAACAGACGATATGCAAGAAGTAATAGTTATCAGCTAGATTTATACAATATTCACAGTAAAATAACATTATAAATCGTGACATTATATGAGTATAATGTACAAGACTGTTCGCAAAATACAATTTTTCTATCAATGTTAGCCTATAATTAGTAAGGTCTATCCCGGAAATAGCAATAAATAGTTGGCAATAGTGAATTATCACATATACATTTTAGAGCCACGGCAACGACAGTTAGTACGTTATACGGCTCCAGGAGTGCCTGAGGATGTTGATGGAATCTCCTGTGACCATGCATGCGACGCTCGCACTTTTGGCGGGATGATCAAGTAAAACTTTCATGTTTCGCCGACCGTGGTTGTCACGACTCCACTGCAAAAGAGGTAGAGTGATAAGGTAATAGTTTAATAATGAAAAAATTTATGAGACATCTAGCCTTCGTAGACTAGAAGGATGAAAATTATTAATCAAACAGGTGCATGGGCGGCTGTTTACATTTGGTTCTCACTGCACCTGGATTAACAAATCAAAGGCCTATAAAACCAGAGCCACACGCAAACAACGTGACAGAGCAGCAAGAGCCTTTGAACTGCCCACAGACCCTGTCGTTTCTCAGCAGTCCCAGCACCAAGAGCCCTTGAACTGCGAGCAGACCCTACCGTCAGTCCCTGATCACAGCCCCAAGATGCCGCGAGGTCTCGTGCTTCTCATGGTCGCCGCGGCGGCAGCGTCGGCGCAGGCGTAAGTAACACGTCTTCAGAGGCCATGAGTGGTTTGCTGTAACACTAGCCAAGCGGAAATATGTTCAAGTTTTTGAGAGGATATTTCGTTTTAAATGCTACTGATATTAATTCTAGGTTTCCTGTGATTAATGGAGCAGATACTTCGTATATTTAGGACGCTTTGCTTGATACGATGGCAGCATCAATACTTTAGCTTGAGAAAGAAACACGATACTAAATATTCTGTAGAATGTGACACGATAATGTGAATAATCGATTTAATGAGAATTCATGATTTGAAACGCTGTAATAATAAAATCAAAATTAGTTACGGCATTCGATACTTACCTGACAATAATCGGATAAAAAAAGTAATTGTAAAAGCAATGTCAGCGTTTGTTAGGCCATTAGACCTTTCGCCGATTCTCAACATTGCAGAACATTTACATTTTGCTGCGGGTCTCAAACATGCAACTCACTGCTTCAGTTTGGTATTCTGAACTGTAATCACTTGGCAACCCTGCGTGGGCGACATGTTTGTTAATCACGTTAGATTTGAAGAACATTGCCCTCCTGCAGGTGAATTATGAAACATTTTGTTTGCTTCATCATGAGTAGCATTTAAGGGAATCTTAATTAAGTTGAATAATATAATTCGTGAACCGCTGCAAGATTTGGTACTCGCTGATTACAAGTTAATGCGAAAGAAATTTTTTTACCGAGCAAAAAAATTAGTATAAATCCAAACTCCAGTTACCATATCTCCACCTCCCGTTCTCCAGCTGAAGGCAGACAACACGTTCGACGACGCGGCCTTCAAAGCAACCACATTGCAGAACAAATGCAGCGCTGACGCCAAGTTCATATCCGTGTACCCAACGTGCAAGAACTCCACCATGAGGTGGAGGCCCAACGACCTGCCTGGCCATATCATTTTTTTTCCTACTCATATTTTATCATTGCGTTCCTACTCAGCTATTAATCATTGTATGGAGCGAGGAGGAGGCTTTACACCTGCATGCATCCGATCGCGGAGAGAAGAGTTCGTACATGTTAATGCGGCAGTGAGATTTTCAGGTCGCGGAAGGACATGTTCGTTAAATTTATTGGAACAGCAAGATTTGCAGGTTGCGAAGGAAAAATGTTCGTACATCTTACTGCGGCAGTAAGAATTGCATGCCGCGGACGTCAGCAGAAAAATTTTTCGTGAACGCTGATTTCAGCCAAGGGTGTGCTCCTCTCCAGACAGAAATTCAGCAACTTTCTTTGCCGTGCGAAATTTTTTCCATCTGATCAATTTTATTCACATTGCGAGCAAAAAATTAAATTGATTATTGATGTCGCCCAACTACCCCGTTAACTTGAACGGATTTAATTGGGAAAATTAAATTTCTCAGTAACACATCTTATTTCGAACTTGATAAAGCAAAATCGTAATTTTAGAGATAATAGAATATGATTTATTTGGTAGGCAGCGTACCTATTAATATGTGTTTTAATTCCAGCGCCGATTCGCCTTGCTATTCGGTGATGTTTAATGCCAGGGATGCTGTGTATGCAAAGGGGGTGCCTGCTTGCTTGCCACAGTACACTGCGGATATTGCAAAATATAATGCAAGTAAGTGTTGAAATAATTAATATGAATTATTTTACATATTCCCACTAAAAACCTTCATTATAAAAAACTTCTCATCAAGCATTAAAATATTAAGATTTTGATGTGTAGATACTCTAGTGTACGAATTAAACATGCATGTTGCTCATGGCCTAGTGCAGGACCAGAACTTTTTTTCATGAAAGCGCATTGATTTTTCATTGATTTTGGTTGAGTTACTGAATGTCAACTAACCAAAAGAATCTCTGCATTATTTCACTCCGTTACGTTGTTTCGCAATGGGATGCCACCAACACACCATAAACGACGACTTCGTTTCTCCCCAGACCCGAACTGCGCAACCTTTGCTAAATCGCCCGACATGGATACATGCGATTCAATCGTTGCTAACTTCTCGAAGTGCCTTGTGAAAGCCGTCAATCTTGTGAGTAATGCACAATACTGAGCATCGAGTGTAGGACTTGAGATACTGGCTGTATATTGAGCATCGAGTGCAGAGCTGGTGAGTACGAATGTACAATGGAAAGTGAGTCTCAAGTGCAGGACTTGCGAGTGTGACTGTACATTGGGCGCCGAGTTCATTACTGTACATTACAGCTCAAAAATTCTGGTCTCGTACCCGCAACACACACGCTCAGCAGTATTTATGTCTGGTGTGTAGGTCAGATTTTTTCGGGGATAATGTCAGTCACAAACTATTGAGCGTGAACCACTGGTGGGGCACACAGACCTGGCAAGTGGGTCGAGACAGCGGGAAGACATTTTCCAATTCGGTATTGCTTCCATGATCAAAAATTTCTCCTTACATCATCCTCAACGATGCTCCTACATTTCTGCGTAACAGCTCACACGAAACGTGTGAGATTAGACAAGCTGGAGATACCCTTTCCGATTTCATCTAATGCGAAAGAAATTTTTTTACCGAGCAAAAAAATTAGTATAAATTCAAACTCCAGTTACCATATCTCCACCTCCCGTTCTCCAGCTGAAGGCAGACAACACGTTCGACGACGCGGCCTTCAAAGCAACCACATTGCAGAACAAATGCAGCGCTGACGCCAAGTTCATATCCGTGTACCCAACGTGCAAGAACTCCACCATGAAATATTTGAACGTAAGTCAAAAAAGGTGCTTATCTATTTGATTTAGAAACAAATGCTACATTTTCATATTTATTGCTCGAATTTTAAAGTAACAAGGAAAAATTACAGCCGTTGTGTATAGCTCGAACAGTGAAAGAAAAAACCTCTTTCATAGGAATTCAACGATGTCAGACCACTGCAGCAAACAGAAGAGATCACAAAATGTCCATGAATTTTCATGTCTAATGCCTCGTGTTTCATGTTCCAGTTGATCCGACTCATCAATTGTATCCATAATAATTTATATGGATACGTAATATCACGACAGAACATGGACGGGTGATATCAAGGAAGAATTGAAATGAGCCAGAAGAAGACGAACTGAGCATCAGAAGACTCTTCTTCTTCTTTCGTAACCCATTCATTTCCGCTTAGATGGATTGGTGATCAGGAAGTTGTAATTTCTGCAATTTTGATATCGGGATTTCTTAGATTATGTTTGTGGTTGCGTGTTTTAATCTTTGGTTTACGGTTTTTTACAATCGAGTTTTACCCTATCTTCCCCATAAAATAAAGATTCAGCAAAAGGATGGTTGGACATATTTACTATACCCTTATTATTGTATATTTATACGTTTGCATACATTATTCACGAGTTATAGTGCCAGTTTCTGGGATATAATATACATTTATAATGTAACAATACAATAAATGATTTGTATGTCCATGTATTTTAATGTCCTGTCTGGTTTAATTGTATTTAAATTTCGTGTAATGTTGCCGTGGGGAACGTTTTATAGGGGCCGACATTTCATAGTGCAGAATCCAGCTATCAAATGAACGAAAAATATTCTATTATGTCAGTAAGGCCAAAATTCGCTATTTGGATGGAAGCCGCGCAATATTTGAACCCAGTCGCATCACTCCAGCCTGACCTCCAACGCAAGACCAGAGCAGAAAAACACGATGCCTTGCTGCATTGAGGGTGAACGATATCGGCAGCGTAACAGAAGATTGTTAACGATAGAAGTTATACAGTGAATGAAAGTAAAAAAACTGCTTAACACGAAATTTATTAAGGAGTTTAAAAGCAAGTAAAAGGCCACAAATACAAGATACATCATTCTTTATAGACAAAAATGTTCCGGATTATCGATCCTCTATCGTCAGATCGACAATCATTGAATGCAAGTACACATAATGATAAGTAACCAATATTCACATTGCAGACTTAAAGCCAAAATTTACAAATAAAACACAAATTCTATTAACAAGTTCAACATGATCAGAACTGAGCGAGTCACTTAAACTAGGCCGCTGTTTGCAAATAAGTATGCTAAAATTCGTTAGTCCGACAACGGTTATGGAAGCTAAAATTCTGGACTCGCTTTAGAATGCTGGGACTTTGCACTGTCCCGCATTATCTCGCGCAGCTGAATGAAAGGAATGTGTAAATATCATGTTCGCGAACTCTTCTCTTGATGCTCCGCCATTTTAGAATAAAAGTAGCGTGACGCCTGACGTCAAACCAACATTCACCGATCCGCATTGCGCACAACTGCATTTGTGAACTAGAGACGCCTTCTTAGAAAGTTATCCTCATCTTTCAACTGTGAGCAACAACATCGAGCAACACATCATTCGATTATTGAAGCGAATATCTAGCGACTCTAGCTCTTTCCTATTTTACATATTGCTTGGGCTTTATATTATGTAAATATTAAGGAAAATTTGGGGGAAGAGGGAAAATGAAAGAAGGCCCTTCAATAAATTAGGAGCAAAATTAGAAAAGTGGGTTTCTAGAAACGCTAGATATTTGCATTACGAATCGATTGACATGTCTCGCGATATTATAGCTCGTAAATGAAAGGAGAAGTTTTTAAAAAAGTTCGAATTTATTCTGCTTTATTTACTTTTTTCGTTTTAGTTTTTTACAAATATTTATAGGAACAAATGCGCTTATACTTGTGTTTGCATACAAGTCTGAAGTTTCAGGAAGAGCTGTCAGTTAATAATATTTTTTGAGGGGTGGGCTCTTCTCTTAAACCTCGAATTTAAGTTCGATCAATTCATTCCTTATTCTTTATGACACACGACTCACGGCAAAAGGCTCACGATACATGTCATGCAACACATGTCTAAAGGCACATGACAAACGATATTTGGCTCACAGAACACGTCTTACGACAAATGTCTTGCAAAGATCCGAATCCCAAATGCAAGTGACCTCTTGGTCTCAATTAATTTATTCTCAAAGACATTTAGAAATGAGCAGGTGGACAGATAACGTTTTCAGGCCACGAGTGCATGGTAGCCTCGTCTGAACCAAGGCAACAATCACCGCATAAGAAATGGGAGGTCTGGTAACTCCCCAAACTACATTACACGTGCATGCCTCGCAAGGAAGCTATAGCCATGAGCACAAGCAACTTGTCTCTCCTACGAGGAATGCAGCAGGTGAACGGGCGCACAACATGACGCACAACATGGCTTACAACATGGCTTACAACATATGACACACAACATGGCTTATGTCCGGTGTCAATTCACTTGACCTGATAGAGATTGAGGACGAGTCAACATCTGATAGACACGAGATAGATCACGCGATCAAGACCTCACTAGTGGGCGGAAGCGAAGCTAACAAAAGGCCTAGCAACCTTAAGCAACCCCCCCCCCCCCCCCCGTAGCTGATGAGCACTCCGCGGTGTAGCGTGTCGGTAGAGTTCTCCGACCTTACGGTCGATGCCGTAGCAAATAACTCTGTATCGCAACTCTGTATTACCACCCCGTATACAAGATACGTTATCTGGACTTATGTGTCTTACTTATCCCTCACTACCTTAGTCAACGAAGAACCCGATCCTCAGGTAGAGCTTAATGTTAAGAGCTCAATATCATAGTTTGTATTAATTTACAACCTGTGACACAACACATGACACACAATATGGCTTACAACACATAGCACGCAACATGGCTTACAGCACATGACACACAACACGGCTTACAATACATGACACACAATATGGCTTACAACACATAGCACACAACATGGCTTACGACACATGACATAAACATGGCTTACGACACGTGAAATAAACATGGCTTACGACACATGCTATAAACATGGCTTACAACACATGACATACAAGTTGGCTCACAACACATGTCATACAACATGGCTTACAACACATGACGCACAACGTGGCTTACAGCACATGACAGAACATGGGTTACAACACATGACTCACAAGGTGGCCTACAACAGAAGCTGCACAACACTTGAATAAACTAAATGAGAAATTGACTTAAGCGACCAAAGAATCATTAATCAGTTCATCTAATGAATAAGAGCGAGCTTCAGGCGTGATAAGTCGAACACCAACGACCGCCTGCGAACATCTGTCAACGAAGCTGTTCATCTTGTTGAGCGATGCACGTGTAACCGGAAACACCGCCGCGAAGTTGAAATAATTATAGGTAGCGTGCCGACTTGACGACGACTTCCGTATTGTTTTAACTCAAGGGCTAAAGAGTCGCTCTTTGGTCCGGCTCTAAATTCCCTTGCGTTGGAAAGAGGAGGAATGAACACGAGGAACTTTTCGTAGTATATTGGTGATCTTCAGGCAATACACAAATTCCACTGTATAAGGCACAAAATTTATTATTTGCTTTAAGTCAGAAAGACAGGATCTCAACTTCAGGGATACAATGTTGACGAGTCCTAATAAACTGTTGAAAACCACAGAAGCGGATAGCAAGGGTACAGATACGAGCTGCACCACGATGCCGATAACCAGCCGCAGAGACTAGGGGTTCTAGCCCTAATACACTTATACACTGCCAACAACACAGAAACGGGCAGCAAGGGTACAGGTACGAGCTGCACCACGATGCCGACAACCAGCCGCAGAGACTAGGGGTTCTAGCCCCCATAAACTGCCAATAACACAGAAAATAAACTGCCAATAACACAGAAACGGACAGCAAGGGTACAGGTACGAGCTGCACCACGATGCCGACAACCAGCCGCAGAGACTAGGGGTTCTAGCTCTAATGCACTGCCAACAACACAGAAACGAACTGCACCACGATGTCGGCAAGTGACAACCAGCCGCAGAGACTAGAAGTTCAAGCCCTGATGCCCTGCCAAATTCCGATTACTCCCGAGCGTGAGAGGTATTGACTCCCACGACACGAGAGGTGCGAACGGTACCGCAGAAGCTGTACCAGAACGCTGACAAATATACTCGAGTGCGGAGCTTATTAGCCCCACAACATGAGAGGTGCTCGGCACGGGTATTAGCCGTACCAGAGCGCCACCAGCAACTGAAACTATCTAAGAACTATCCCTACGCCGTAATTAATCCGTAGGTGGATCTCTTTACGAGATATATCCAGAACTACGATGGAGTTTTATCAAGGAAGCCCAGATTTGGCTCCCCGGAATTCGAGTCGAAACGTCTGCACTCCAACCCAGTACTACTGAGCACACATGGTTCATCCGCGATGGGTAACTCAACTAAGATGAGCTTACCTCAACATCCCGTTTGCAATGTACAAGAAATGGGCTAATAAAATCGTCTACTTACAAAAAAATAGATAATATAGTATATTACAACAAAATAAAATCATAATATAATCCTTTGACCACATAAAGATAAGCGGAAGTTGATATAAAATAGAATAACTCTCGAGGATAACTAACTCGCGAGCGCGTGAGTCGATACCAGTTCATCAATAGTCTTAGACAAATGAACATTGACTAAAAGCATCATCAAATACAATAAGAAGTACTATCACCTAAATAAATCTTATTAATAAAGAGTTTAACCTTTTGACAACATGACTAAAAGTTATACTCGGCTTCTTATAGAACATCTACCTCTAAGACGTCTAGCCTGCTTACGCAAGATGGCGAAGTAGCTGTCTTTACCTTAAAGATGGTATCGTATATTGACAGCACTTATTCTCATACAACAGTAAATAGTTACGATTATCCCAAAAAAATACTGTCCTTCTACAAAATAATTGCACATTAAAGCAAAATTTTATAGGTCAAGCAATAATTTACTACTACCATATCATAGAAATAAGTCTAATTGTGTCAGGGCTAGCAGACGACGCGCGGTGCCTAGCAGACGATTACAATGTAACGCTATCGACAGATGGTATCACAGCAAAGGAGATTCCTTGTTACAGTCACGAAATAAAAATATACCTACGCATTTCTTAGTCATACATAAATTAAATCCTTAAGTTAACAAAATAATTTCACATTCAAACGAGATTCCATAATTCAGTAATAAATTAATTTTAAAGTTGTGACATCTTAAATCTAATGCTTGGCGGACACGTTCAGAATGGAAGAACAAGCCGCCGAGGAACGATTAGTTGAGGTCATCAGAGAGAACCCGAAGTATTTTTTCAAATACGCCAAGTCCAAGGCTAAAATAAAGACGCCAGTGGCCTCGCTGTAGGATAACGATGTCCTTGTCGGAGATGACCAAGGCATATGTGAGTTACTGGGATCACAGTTTGAATGTCTTCAGTAACTAACTCCTGTACTCGAGGGAGGGGAATGAAATCGAAGTTCTCCGGGTGCTTCCAGGTGGAAGGGGGTTTGAGAACATTGAGTTTGGAACGGAAGATATGTAAAAAAGTATTAAAGAACTGGCGACGTTCTTAGCACCAGGACCCGATGA